CGTGCTGCCGCCGCGGCTGTGAGGCGACGGAGCGGGGGCGGCCGGAGGGCGCTGGACCGGACTGCGGGGGACCCCGCGGGAGCTGCTGGGAGAGGATCCTCTTGACCAACCTCGCTGCACGGAACAAACAACCCAACCCTGCTTTAGGTCGGAGGTGATGGCCCAAAAACCGCCTGAAGCCTCCGGCGCTGCAGGTTTCGGCAGGGAAAATTCCCACGTGGATAACGCAAGAGCCGCGGCTGGGAGCAAGGACGGCAAGAAGCTGGAGATGACAACAGCCTCGCTTAGGAGACACGTGAGAAAACCCACTGCAAGCTTTGGGGAGCACTTGGGCAGCCGCTTCCAAACAGCTCCCTCTTCCCTATCCCCCAGCAGACCGGGCTCGTGCCCCGCTCCTCGCGGGGGTCCGGGCAGCCTTCCCGCGGCCGGGACCCCCCTCTCTCTGCCCCCTTGGCCACCAGGGCTGCCGGCCCACGTGGAGCGCGAGCCGTGGCACCCGCGACAGATCACGCTGCGCGCGCGGCGCTGATGTTACTTGTGAGTGCATTTGCCATGAAATTATTGTTAATTATTCATCACGGCTAATGTTCAGTTACTGTTGATGGCCCTAGAAATTGCAGTGCAGCCTGAGTCACGGAAAAACGGGCCTATTACAGCAATAAACGGACCATATTCTGCTATTCCACGTTATTGTTTAATCGATGGTTGGGGTGTTTTCCCTCTCCTTTCCTTGGCCGTTTGGCTGGGGTGTTTTCCTGAGGCCTCTCAGTGGCAGTCACCCACAGCGGGTTCGAGCTGCCTCTCCTGGGTGTCCCCTGCGCCGGGCACGTGGGCGCTGCCTCTGCGGGCGAGCTCCTCGCTGCCTTGCAAAATTTGCAAACCAAATCCCTTTGCCAAAAAAAATGCGGAAATCTAATGGGGCATGGAGAGCCCTCGAAACCCAACGTACCCCTTCTCTTGCCAGGAGCCGCGGGGAGGCTGGTGGAAGGGATCTCGCAGCCCCTGCGTGTGCCCGGCACGATGCCCTGGAGCAGGAGCTGGTGACGCTCCCCGGGAAGGGGGCTCCAACACCCCCCAGGACCCCAGCGAGCGGCGGCTCCAGCCCCGCGTTGCCCTTGTGCTAGGCGAGAACCTCTGGGTC